CTCGAAAAATGGTTTTAGCATTTAGCTAAGAATTAATTAGAGGAAGAGCAGATTGTTAGTGAGATTAGAGGAGGAAGTGGGAAGAAAAGGAGATAGAAGAGGGAACATCATGCACAAGTTACGCTTTACATTAGGAATTATCCATTTTGAAAAATAAAAAAAGATTTTTTAGAAATATGATATTACCCTCGGGTGATGATTCTCCACCGATCAAAACACGATCTGGATTCGACAGATCCCTAATGGCTGTTCCTTCAGCAAGAAATTCCGGATTTGAAAGAACCTATAACAAAACTACACTATAAGGTCCAAATCTGTAACTTCAAGTAACCTGGAATTTCAAACGAGGATCGTTCCTTTGAGCCTCTCTAAGTATAGCGTTTATACTCTCCGCAGCGCGCACTGGTACAGTACTTTTTTCAACGACGATCTGAACACGATACTGTAAGATTTGGATTCAAAATAGTAACAAGTAGTTCAACCTTTGGTCCAACTGCGTGCTGAGCGATGGTACGAGATACAGATTCAACATATTTCAAATCCGGAGCCATTCCCTGCAAAAATCTTGGGTTTTGATTAATATTCCAGAAGTTACGATGTTCTCTTACCTTTCCTCTACCATAGGTTTTCGTAGGAGTGTTGACAGATATAAAAATAAGGTCTGCCTCACGAATAGCTTTAGGAATATCGGTGATAAAATGAAGATTCTTTCCGCGAGCAGCCATGACAATTTCCTCCAGCCCAGGCTAAATCGAAGAAAATTGTGGCATATAATCCCAGCCTTAGAGAGTTAGTATTAACCTCAAAAATTGGCAGCTTCTCGGAATTCCATTGCTCGATTTTCTCCATGTTCATGTCCACTACCGTAACCTAAGCTGGAAAGTTTAGCACATAGTTGATTACGAAGAATACCCATAGAAAGCTTTACCTGAATATCCGGGCATTTGTGAGCAATCATGGCACATGTAGGACCTCCCACATATCCGGCCCCAACGCATGTTATCTTTTCAACCTGAGTTGGCGAACAGATGTAAAAAAATTAGGTTTCTATAAAAATGCAGGTTACCTTTTTAAACATCTTGCTGAATATGTGCTCGAGAGTACGGAGGCGCTTATCTGCTCTAGAAGAAAGATTTTGAAACATTTGCAATTAAGCAGTTTTTAAGCAAACTACTGCGGATCCTTCTTTAGGGAGTAGTCCCATGTACAACCGGTTGTGCACGCGGTAGCACATTTCAACACTTTAGGCCTTATTTAGTCTATGAAACTTGTAAGCATCGCATTGTGAAGGAAACTACCAAGATGAAACAGATAAATCAATCGAGTCACGCAAACGTAATCGCAGTTTACCTTTTGTGGGCAACCTGTCGCGCATGTGAGTTCATGGTGGTCAGGTGCACAATGTGTGGTGCACGGGCAAAGAAAGATGATGAATAATGGTTATGTAATAGGAGAAAACGCGAATACGTGATTTTCAAACAAAACTCCGATCATGACAACATTTCATGAAAATTAATTTTAAGGAAAAGTCATCGTAATAATGTGCGTCCAGCTCATGGTCCGCTACGTAACTGTTTCCGAGCAGGTTCTCCATGTGAACGGTTTGTTAGCAATGGAGCACGCTTCAACTGGTTATCACTATAGCCTACCAAGCAATCTACTGCTCCACTGCTAATAAGCCACGATGAGTTGGTAACTCTTATTTAGCCAATAAATAAATTTCCAGCCTTTGTCAGAGACAGCTTAAGTTTCTTTTAACTTAGAAATCTAGTCAATGC